TGAGTGTCCCACATAAATCCAAGGAGTTCAGACATAAACTCGGGATCTCCAGCAGTGTCTCCTCCCCCAAGTCATGGTTTTTGGTTTTGAACATAACCGCTGCAATCTGAATTCCCACGCAGAGGTGTGGAGTCCATTTCATAGTCTGCTGTCTTTATTCACTTAAAAAAAATATTGGGCCAGAGGCTGGAGAGATGGCTCGCTGGCCGCTCTTCCAAAGGTCCTGAGTTCAATTCTCAGCACCCACATGGTGGCTCACAACCATCCATAATGAGATCTGGTGCCCTCTTCTGACCTGTAAGCATATATGTAGGCAGCACACTATATACATAATAAATAAATAAATCTTTAAAAAAGTTATTGGGCCAGGCATGGGTGGCACACGCCTTTAATCCTAGCACTCTGGAGGCAGAGGCAAGTGGATCTCTGAGTTTGAGACCAGCCTGGTCTACACAGCGAGTTCCAGGACAGCCAGAGCTACATAGAGAGGCCCTGTCTCAAACAAATAAACAAACAAAATAGTTAAAACTAGGAAATAAGGGAAAATTCAAACACCCCCTTCTTCCAATATTTAACAGACCTTCCTAAGGATTATTTGAGTCTCTAGGATTTTCTTGTGTTTGATCCTCCAGTTTCTTTTTTAGAGTCAGGATACTGTGAAGCTGTGTGTTAGTTTGGATCACACTCTACAGTATCTTTTTGGGGGGTTAGGGAGTCAAATTCCATAGTATCTTTTTTTTTTCCTCCCTGAGGAACATTGCCATTTTCATCTGTAAGCAGGTAATCTCACGCTGCTGTTCTCATTTGTTTGAGCATGCCTCTCCTGGTGGCTTGTATAAGGCTCTCTCCCCAAGGGCTCATTGAATTAGTTTTGCCTGGTGGTTCAGTCACACATTAATGAACAGAGTGCAAACTTTGACATGCTCCAGTTTCTACACTGGGGTCCGTCACGATTTTAATGGTCCCATCTGATGCTGATGCACCTCTGCTCAGCCCTTCTCCTGGTACCGGTAATCGCTTATTCTGGCCGCAGATGTCGGGGAGCATCCTTAGAATAAAAAGACTCCTTTGCCCACCCCCTTGGAGTCTATGCAGGTTTGCTACAGGTTTGGCGTAGGTGGAGGCAGCTTCTTCCCACCTCCTTTCTTCTGCTCTACCCCCTCACTTCCTCCTCTCTCCTCCTCTTCTTATTTATTTATTTATTTAAAATGTTGGTGACTGGGGGGCGGGAGGGGGAGAGCAGGGGAATCTGTGGCTATTATGTGGAACTGAATGGTGTTGTAAAATAAAAAATAATAATAATAATAATAAAATGTTGGTGACTGAACCAAGAGCCTTGTGCAGGCTAGGCTAGCACTTCACCACTGAGCTATGCCCTCAGCCCTTAACGGGCACTTCCGTCAGCACGTGGGGGAGGTTCTTTGATCAGATACCTTGAGAAAGCTGCCCAGGGGACTGGATGGCTAGGGATTCTAATGTCACATTGGTCCTCATTGTTCAGTCTTGGGGATGGACTGGAGCCTGATAAGTCCATTTTCCTAAACACAGACTTGGATGAGGCAGTTGATCTTAAATGTGAATCCACCAACAACTGTAATAGAAAGGAGGCTGGGGACAACCACGAGTCTGTATGTATAGCTTGTACCATACGAAACTGCCGAAATGTAGCTCTTCATTGACTGTCCAAACTGGCTGTGTATGGTAAGATCTAATAACTTCCCAAGTGCTTCTAACCTGAAGCTATTTGGCAACCAGCTGGTGTATATAAATGGAACAAGGCTTTCCAACATTTGCTGAAAATGCCTCATGGCTTTCACTGGGTGTAGAGCAAAAATGAAGGACTTGCTTCCCAGAAAAATGAGTCTAGCACAACTTCTTATGTACAATCTCAGGAAAATTTATGGAGCCTTTAAAGACACAGAGGCCCCAACTTAATCCTATTTCACACTTTTTTTTGAAGGCTGTATTCTTCAGGAGTAGAGTTCTGCTGCCACCTACTGCTACAGTGTTTGTTTTCTTTCTTTCTTTCTTTCTTTCTTTCTTTC